GGGGGGGGGGGGGGGAACAGGAGAAGAAGAACCCACTACAAGCTACACAGGGAGTGTGCGGGAGACTGGCAGATGGATAGGTTTTTGGGGGGAGACACTGAGGGGCACGGGGAGAGTGCAGGAGAATGTGAAATACATAGATTTTTGGGGGCGAAGACACTGACGAGATTAAGGGACACAGGGAGAGTGCAGGAGACTGGGAGATGGATAGGTTTTTGGGGGAGATAGTGAGGGGTGAAGGACATGGGGTGAGTGTGGGAAGCTGGAGCTGAGGGAGGTAATTAAACACAGTCGTGTTGAATGTTTGAGCTGGCTAGAAAGCTGAATGGCCACCTCCAGCTCATCTTTCTGAGCACTGGCCAAAAGAAAGAGGAAAGTGTTGCTTCTTGGGTGGATCCAACTGAGCTAATTTCTCTGAATAATGTACGAAAAGCCAACCTGTGCATTTCAGTCATGTGTCATCAATTAAAGTTCAAAAGCATAGCTGTTCAAGAAAAAATAGTGCTCTTAACATTTAAAGAAAGCTAATTAGAGAAGTTGATTTATATATCTCCACTGACATACACTGGCTCAGTTGTTAAAGAGTTTTTCCCACTGGCTTCAGCAACTATACATTCCTTCAATGTGTAAAACCAGCTTACCCCTCCTTCCCTCCCACACCCCACCCCGCACTGCAGTTAACTGCAGCTGACAAAGGAAGTTAAAGGACTGCATTAGATTCCAATTGTTGATGGTTTTTCTTTATTCTGGTTTTGTCTTTCATCCAAGACAACAAGGAGCAGGGCTGGATGAACACAGCAGGCCAAGCAGCATCATAGGAGCAGAGAGGCTGACGTTTCGGGCCTAGACCCTTCATCAGAAAAGGGGGAGGGGAAGGGGGTTCTGAAATAAATAGGGAGAGAGTGGGAGGCGGATAGAAGATGGATAGAGGAGAGGATAGGTGGAGAGGAAACAAACAGGTCGAAGAGGCGGGGATGGAGCCAGTAAAGGTGAGTGTAGGTGGGGAGTTAGGGAGGGGATAGGTCAGTCCAGGGAGGACAGACAGGTCAAAGGGGCGGGATGAGGTTAGTCGGTAGGAGATGGAGGTGCGGCTTGAGGTGGGAGGAGGGGATAGGTGGGAGGAAGAACAGGTTAGGGAGGCAGGGACGAGCTGGACTGGTTTTGGGATGCGGTAGGGGGAGGGGAGATTTTGAAACTTGTGAAATCCACATTGATACCATTGGGCTGCAGGGTTCCCAAGCGGAATATGAGTTGCTGTTCCTGCAACCTTCGGGTGGCATCGTTGTGGCACTGCAGGAGGCCCAGGATGGGCATGTTGTCTGAGGAATGGGAGGGGGAGTTGAAATGGTTCACGACTGGGAGGTGCAGTTGTTTATTGCGAACCGAACGTAGGTGTTCTGCAAAGCGGTCCCCGAGTCTCCGCTTGGTTTCCCCGATGTAGAGGAAGCCACACCGGGTACAGCGGATGCAGTATACCACATTGGCAGATGTGCAGGTGAACATCTGCTTGATGTGGAAAGTCTTCTTGGGGCCTGGGATGGGGGTGAGGGAGGAGGTAGGGGGGCAGGTGTAGCACTTCCTGCGGTTGCAGGGAAAAGTGCCAGGTGTGGTGGAGCTGGAGGGGAGCGTGGAGCGGACAAGGAAGTCACGGAGAGAGTTGTCCCTCCGGAAAGCAGATAGGGGTGGGGAGGGAAAGATGTCTTTGGTGGTGGGGTCGGATTGCAGATGGCGGAAGTGTCGGAGGATGATGCGTTGGATCCGGAGGTTGGTGGGGTGGTACGTGAGGACGAGGGGGATTCTTTTTTGGTTCTTATTGCGTGGATGGGGTGTGAGGGATGAGGTGCGGGAGATGTGGGAGACACGGTTGAGGGCGTTCTCGACCACCGAGGGGGGGAAGTTACGGTCCTTGAAAAACGAGGACAACTGAGATGTACGGGAGTGGAATGCCTCATCCTGGGAGCAGATGCGGCGGAGGCGAAGGAATTGGGAATAGGGGATAGCATTTTTGCAGGAAGGTGGGTGGGAGGAGGAGTATTCTAGGTAGCTGTGGGAGTCGGTGGGCTTGAAATGAATATCGGTTTCTCGGTGGTTGCCCAATATGGAGACAGAGAGGTCCAGGAAGGGGAGAGAGGTGTTAGAGATGGTCCAGGTAAACTTAAGGTTGGGGTGGAAGGTGTTGGTGAAGTGGATGAACTGTTCAAGCTCCTCGTGGGAGCACGAGGCGGCGCCGATCCAGTCATCAATGTAACGGAGGAAGAAGTGGGGTTTAGGGCCGGTGTAGGTACAGAAGAGGGATTGTTATACGTAACCTACAAAGAGGCAGGCGTAGCTTGTGCCCATGCGGGTACCCATGGCCACCCCCTTTGTCTGTAGGAAGTGGGAGGAATTGAAAGAGAAGTTGTTGAGTGTGAGGACGAGTTCGGCTAAGCGGATGAGGGTATCAGTGGAGGGGGACTGATCGGGCCTGCGGGACAGGAAGAAGCGGAGGGCCTTAAGGCCATCTGCATGGGGAATGCAGGTGTAGAGGGACTGGACGTCCATGGTAAAGATGAGGTGTTGGGGACTGGGGAATTGGAAGTTCTGGAGGAGGTGGAGGGCGTGGGTGGTGTCACGGACATAGGTAGGGAGTTCCTGGACCAAGGGGGAGAAAGTGGAGTCTAGATAGTTGGAGATCAGTTCGGTGGGGCAGGAGCAGGCGGTGACAATGGGTCGACCAGGGCATTCAGGTTTGTGGATTTTGGGAAGGAGATAGAAGTGGGTGGTGCGGGGTTGGGGAACGATGAGGTTGGAGGCCGTGGGTGGGAGGTCACCTGAGGTGATGAGGTTGTGGATGGTTTGGGAGATGATGGTTTGGTGCTCAGGGGTGGGGTCATGATCAAGGGGGCGGTAAGAGGAGGTGTCGGAGAGTTGGCGTCTGGCCTCGGCGATGTAGAGGTCAGTGCGCCATACTACAACTGCGCCTCCCTTGTCCGCGGGTTTTATGGTGAGGTTGGGATTAGAGCGGAGGGAGCGGAGGGCTGCACGTTCTGCGGGGGAGAGGTTGGAGTGGGTGAGAGGGGTGGAGAGGTTGAGGCGATTGATGTCTCGACGGCAGTTGGAGATGAAGAGGTCGAGAACTGTGAGCTGAGAACTGGAGGCTACAGAAAACTATTGGGCTGGGGGCAGGAACTTGTGTTATAAGGGAGGAAGACAGAATGAATACAGTGTGGAGCTGGAGGAACACAGCAGGCCAGGCACCATTAGAGGAGAAGGAAAGCTGATGTATCACCCCATTAACCTCTGGATTCAATGCATCATTCTCTGCTACTTCAGCCACCTGCAATCTGACCCCACAACAAAGGATATATTTTCCTCCCCACCCTTATCTGCCTTCCGGAGGGACCGCTCTCTCTGTGACTCTCTGTGAGTCCCTCGTCTGCTCCACACTCCCCACTAGCCCCACCACCCCTGGCACCTTTCCCTGCAACCATAGGAGGCACTACACCTGCCCATACACCTTCCCCCTCACCTCCAACCCAGGCCCGAAAAAAACCTTCCACATCAAACAGATGTTAACCTGCATATCCGCTAATGTGGTCTATTGTATCCAATGCTCCCGATGTGGCCTCCTCTACATTGGTGAGACCAAGTGGAGACTCAGAGGCCGCTTTGTAGAGCACCTATGCTCGGTTCGCGACAAACTACAAAACCTCCCAGTTGCGAAACACTTCAACTCCCCCTCCCACTCCCTGGGCGACGTGTCCATCCTGGGCCTCCTCCAGTGTCACAACGATGCCACCCGGAAACTGGAGGAACAGCACCTTGGGAGCCTACAACCCAATGGTCTCAATGTGGACTTTACTAGCTTCAAAATCTCCCCACCCCCGACCTCATCCCAAGACCAGCACCCCTCCTCTCACTGACCTGTCCGTCTTGCCTCCCACCTATCTGCTCCTCCCACCTCACTGACCAACCCCCACCCCCACTTCTTACCTACACTCACCTTTACTAGCTTCATCCCTGCCTCCTTGACCTGTCCATCTTCTCTCCCACCTATCCCCTCCACTATCCACCTGCTATCACTGCCTGCCCCCATCTATTTATTTCAGAGCACCCTTCCCCTCTGCCATTTCTGAAGAAGGGTCCCAACCCGAAACGTCAGCTTTCCTGCTCCTCTGATGCTGCCAGGCCTGCTGTGTTCATCCAGCTCCACACTGTGTTATCTCTGACTCCAGCATCGGCAGTTCCTACTATCTCTGAAACAGAACGAATGTTTGTTTGTGAGGCCGGGCCTGGAAGTTAACTGCAGGTTGGTCCCTGGTCAATAGTCTCTACATCACTGGGGAAGAGCACAGTGTGTAAACAGACAGCAGTTGTTGGCTCTTCACAAGGTCAGTAGTTGGGAATTAGTTCCGGCAAGTCTGGAAGGCAGCTTAGGCTCAAGCAATGGCAGATGTTCATCGGTAACTGGGATCTCATTGGGAGGCGGTCAGTCTGTCAGGGAACTGGGTTTTGAACTGTGTTTCTGGGAGAAGGAGGGGGTAACTGTTGGTGCTGCAGCATGAAGATGTGAAAGCTCTCTGCCTAACGGAAGTTCAGAGAATAGAAACTAAGTGCTAAGTATTACTGGCTTCCTCTGAGTGAGCTGAGAAAATGACCCTGATCAATATCTCCAGAAAAACAACTCCGGAACGAACATCTACGTCTGAAGAACAATGCATCATGGAAACCACTTCAGTAATCTGACTCACTTTGTTATTTTCTTTCATTTATTCTTTAAGTGCATTTGTTTGTCTGCCCATCTTTTGTGTAAATGGAAGTGAAAAGGAAGATTATTGGGCTTAAACACAGACATCAATTCAATTAGTTTGCTGTTTAATTTAAAACTGCTGAAGTTACTGTATTGCTAACAACTTGCTAAGGCTTTTGTTAACCTACAAATCAATGTCTACATTTTTTAATCACAGGCTCTGCGTTAGTTATTCACTAAGTCTGGTTAGGAACCATTGAACATAGAACAGTACAGCACAGTACAGGCCCTTCGGCCCACGATGTCGTGCCGACCTATTATCCTACTAAGATCAAACTACCCTGCGTACCCTACATTTTACTATCCTCCATGTGCCTATCCAAGAGTTGCTTAAATGTCCCTGATGTATCTGACTCCACTACCACTGCAGACAGCGCATTCCACACGTCCACCACTCTCTGTGTGAAGAACCTGCCTCTGACATCTCCCCTATACCTTCCTCCAATCACCTTAAAATTATTCCCCCTCGTAATAGTCATTTCCGCCCTGGGAAAAAGTCTCTGACTATCCACTCCATCTATGCCTCTCATCATCTTGTACACCTCTATCAAGTCACCTCTCACTCTTCTTCACTCCAATGAAAAAAGCCCTAGCTCCCTCAACCTTTCTTCATAAGACCTGCCCTCCAGTCCAGGCAGCATCCTGGTAAATCTCCTCTGCACCCTCTGTAAAGCTTCCACATCCTTCCTATAATGAGGTGAGCAGAACTGAACACAATATTCCAAGTGCGGTCTAACCAGGGATTTATAGAGCTGCAGCATAACCTCGCGGCTCTTAACTCAACTCCCCTGCCAATGAAGGCCAACACACCATACACCTTCCTTACAACCTTATCAACTTGGGAGCAACTTTGAGGGAGCTAGGGACGTGGACTCCAAGATCCCTCTGTTCCTCCACACTGCCGAGAATCCTGCCACTTACCCTGTATTCTGCGTTCAAATTCCACCTTCCAAAATGAATCATTTCACACTTTTCTGGATTGAATTCCATCTGCCACTTCTTTGGCCAGCTCTGCATCCTGTCAATGTCCCGTTGCAACCTACAACAGCCCTCCACGCTGTCCGCAACTCCCCCAACCTTCATGTCAACGGCAATCTTACTAACCCACCCTTCTGCTTCCTCATCCAAGTCATTTATAAAGATCACAAAGAGCGGAGGCACCAACATTGGGAGTCTTTGAAGGTTTTAATTTTGTTGTGTTGCGAATGCTGAGGTAGAAAGAGCTTGTTTGGTCTGGCTGTTTGTCTCCCTGTTATAACAATAAGGTTGAGATAACTTGTGGTAAACGTAAGGATTGGAGAATTTTGCAACAAAGCGAAACAGGGGCCTGGAAATGGTGGGGAAAAAAAACGAGAGAATTCTCCAAATATAAACAGCATACAAATGTATAAGTGGACTGTAAAAGCTTTGGTAGGTGTGGAAAAGGAACAGCCCAATCCCCACCCCCCTACCCTACCCCACCAACTATCAACATCCTGGGGGTTACCATTGACCAGAAACTCAATTGGACTCACCACAAGTCAGAGGCTAGGAATACTGCAGTAAGTAACCATTGACTCTACCCGCTACCACAACAAAGACTGTCCCACCATCGACAAGGCAAAAGTCAGGAGGGTGAGGGAATACTCCCCACTTGCCCAGGACGGGAGAAGCTCCAACAACACTCCTGAGAAGCTCGACACTGTCCAGGGACAAAGCAGTCTCCCCCTCGATTGGCACCACATCCACAAACATCCCACTCCTCCCCCCCACCACTGATGTTCAGTAGCAGCAGTGTGTACCATCTACAAGATGCCCTGCAGAAATTCACCAAAGATCCTCAGGTAGCACCTTCCAAACCCACGACCCACTTCCATCCAGAAGGACAAGGGCAGCAGATACATGGGAACACGAGCCCCCTGCAAGATCCCCCCCTCCGAGCCACTTCCCCATCCAACTTGGAAATCTATTGGCTGTTCCTGGGTCAAAATCCTGGAATTGTTTCCCTCGGGGCATTGTGGGTCAACTCCCAGCAGATGGACCGTGGTGGCTCACCACTTCCCAATGGGGGGCAAATAGAGATTTCCCCTGCTCAGGTGTGGGGGGTGGGAAACCAGGGGGACACTGACAGGCCAGCCTCTGAGGTGTGAGGTAAGGAGAAGATCATGTTTCCAGAGTGGATTTGGAGTCGTTGCTTCTGTTGATGGTCTTTCTCTCTCTCTCTCTGTCTCTCTCTCTCTCCATTTCTCAAAGAACTTCTGTGACGAGGATGGGAGCCAGCCAACGGGTTTTGATCTGGTCTGTCCCCCAGTGCATGGTGGTCCCGTCTTCCGCTTTAACCACTATGACCAGCGATTTACTGAGATGCCCACCTGGGCTGATGTGCACGGCTGTCTCCAGATACAGATGTTCGACACTCATCCCTATGACACCACTGCTACCCACTCTTTCCGAAACGCGCTGGAAGGTATCAGATGGAGGGTCTACACAGTCCATAAGCTGCACTCGATGGTGTCCCTTCCCACTCCCTCCAGCTCACCCAACCTTGTGGCCTGTATGTTGTGTTGAGGGGAGGGGGGCGTGGGGGGGAGGTGTTACTTAACTGTGATGAGGGTGTTCATCTCTGCCACCCTGTCACCTACACAGGATTGGATGCCCAGTTATCTGCGGGATTTCAAGAAAATGTCCACCTCAAGCGCTCACCAATGCTCTACCAGGCCAGGAGGGAGCAGAGATGAAAATGTATATGATGATCACCGTTTCCTTCTTCAAGCCAAACGGCAACATTTTGTTTGAGCTTCTTTCCTCGCCCATTTTCTTGTTCGTATGCGCGTCCCTTACAGAGGTCAGGCATACAGCCTGACTTTCAGATTCCAGTTACAGTCATGGAGTCAGAGAGTTTTACAGCGCAGAGAGAGCTCCTTCAGCCCATCTTGTTCGCATCGGTCATCGAGCACCTATCTATTCTAACCCTATTTTCCAGCCCCTGTAGCATTTCAAGTGCTCACCTAAATACCTCTTAAACATGGTGAGCACCCTCGCTCCTTCACCCGAGCCACCTATTTCACGCAGTCTGCTCCAGATTCTCACCGCCTTCCAGCTGCACCTCTGACCCTCTGTATTTCCCAGGATGCTACCACTCATTGTGCACTCTCTAGTCTTGTGAATCTTTCCAAAACGCACCAGCTTATGATTTTCAGAATTAAACTGCATTCGCCACAGTTCAGCACACCTGACCAGTCCATCTATGCTGTCCTGTAGTTTTATCTCCTTGATATTCCCACACCACCATTTGCAAACTTACTGATCCTACCTCATATATTCACGTCTAGATCATTAACACAGACAGCAAATAGCGAGGGACACAGCACTGAACCACTGTAGCACAACTCTTGGACAGAGGTTTCTAGTCGCAAAAACACCATTTCCTGTCTGCCTCCCGCCACAAAACCAATTTTCAATCCCATTTGCCAAATCGCCCACGGGCCCCTTACCTTCGAGCCATAGAGTTGTACAGCACAGAAGCAGACCCTTCAGTTCAACTCATCTGCACCGTCCAGATATTCTACATTAACCTAATCGCATTTGCCAGCCCATTTGGCCCAGATGCTTGAGCAATCTCCCGTGTGCGACCTTATCGAACTTCTTACTGTAGTCCACGCAAACTACATCCTCTCTGAATTCTCGGAAATACAGCCAAATCTTTTTTTAAGGCAGGATTTGTTGACAAAACATTCAAGTTGTGGGGGAACTGGCATTGTGCCAATGACCTCTGGGGAGTTGTCCTCTGTCTCTGGTGCAGTCCCATCCCTTCCTGCACCATGGAGCGCCCTGAGCGGTGATCCAGCGTGTTTCAGATTGATCCAGTGTCCCACCCCTGCTCTTGTACTCCATACCCTTGGCACAGAAAGGGATGCATAGCCCCGGGTCTTTCTAGAGCTCCCCTCCACTCAGAGATCTGTGGGCATGCACAAGTTCGCTGCCCCCTCACCCCACTCCCACCTCTGATAGCCCTCTCTTTCACCTCGGGAGGGTCTTGCCCAGTGAGCTGAGGATCCCAGGATCTTTTCTGTGCAGACTGATTGCGTTTCCCCACCTTCACCCTATGGCTTGCCTTTTTGGTCAGTGCATTGAGTGTAGGAGTTGGGAGGGTCATGTTGCGGCTGTATTGGTGAGGCCACTTTTGGAATATTGTGTGCGGTTCTGGTCTCCCTGCTACAGGAAGGATGCCGTGAAACTTGAAAGGGTCCAGAAAAGATTTACAAGGATGTTGGCAGGGTTGGGAGAGTGTGAATAGGCTGAGGCTATTTTCCCTGGAGCATTGGGAGGCTGAGAGGGTGACCTTATAGAAGTTTATGAAATCATGAGGGGCTTGGGTAGGGTGAGTAGCCAAGGTCTTTATCTCCAGCATAGGGGGGAGTCCAAAACTAGAGGGCATAGGTTTAAAGTGAGAGGGTGAAGATTTAAAAGGGACCTGAGGGGTAACTTTTTCACGCAGAGGGTGGTGCGTGTGTGGAACGAGCTGCCAGAGGAAGTGGTGGAGGCTGGTACAATTCCAACATTCAAAAGGCATCTGGATGGGGATGGGAGTAGGAAGGGTTTAAGAGGGATAGGGGCCAAATGCTGGCAAAACGGGGCTAGATTCATCCAGGATATCTGACAGGCATGGGCAAGTTGAGCTGAAGGGTCTGTTTCCGTGCCGTATGGCTCTATGACTCCAATGCACCGGTTGGGTAACTCCTTGGTGGCATTGGGCGTGAGGGGGTGAGTCCTGACTTGTGGGATTGGCTGGGGTGGGGCGGCAGGGAGGTGGGGGAGGTGGTGGAGAGGGAGAGAAGAGGGCAGTGGTGTCATGAGGGAGGCGGGGAATGGCGCACATACACACACAGTCACCCAGCTGACATGGGATGGGTGCTCCAACACCATCCAGCAACCATTGGCACTGGCTGGCTGCCATTGTCTGCCAGCGCTTGACAGCTGCCGATGGTGTTGGGAACATTGGGAAGGGCAAGGCAAGTCTGTCTGCAGGGCTGGGAAGTGGGTTTCTGGGCTGAGAGTTTATTGCACAGAGCTGTTAATTGCTTCTCTCTCCCTCCCTCCCACAGGTAACATCAACCCACAGGATCCATCACAGGGAATAACCACTATGCACAATCTTGTCCACAGATTCTGCGGTGGCACCTTGGAATTTTCCAACAAGGCTGCAAATGACCCACTCTTCCCTTCGCTGCATGTCACTGTTGACAAGTGAGTAACACTGGAAATGTGCTGCCAGAGCCATGCTCACCCATCAAGCCACTTGGCCCCCTCCCACATTTGCTAAGATCACGACTAATTGGATTGTAACCTTCTGCTTACCCCTGCTGACCTTTCACCCTTTCTTTAACCGTGCCTGAAAAATACTCAAAAATACTCGGGTAACTCTAACCCCTCCCCACCAAACCGCAACTTCACAGGGAGAGAGTGTCGGAGAGTCACACAGCACAGAAACAGACCCTTCGGCCCGTCCAGTCCGTGCCGACCATAATCCCAAACTAAACTAGTCCCACCTACCTGCTCCTGGCCCATATCCCTCCAAACCTTTCCTATCCACGTACTTACCCAAATGTCTTTTAAACGTTGTAACAGTACCCACGTCCACCACTTCCTCAGGAAGTTCATTCCACACACGAAACACCCTCTTTGTAAAAACTTTGCCTCTCATGTCCTTTTTAAAATTGCTCTCCTCTCACTTTAAAAATGTACCCCTTCGTCTTGAAATACCCCACCCTAGGGGAAAAGACACCTACCATTAACCCTGTCTATACCTGTCATTATTTTATAAACTTCTATCCGATCGCCTCCGACAAAACTGTTCTCCTCCTCGCAGTTTAAACAGTAACCCCGATGTTTAACAGTCCCATAAGATGAAAACTCCTCTCCATACTATTCCACTGCCCCCATCAGGATTTTATATGTTTCAATTCAATCACCTCTGACTCTTCCAAACTCTGAGGATGCAGTCCATCAGGGTCCAGGCCCTGCTCAGTCCCCTGCCCCAACAGTTTCCTCCGTACTGCTTCCCTGGGGATAGTCGTTTTCCTGAGTTCCTCTCTCCCCGCTCAATTTGTCTGCCATCTCTTCAATCTGCATTATTCGTTCTCCAGTCGGACTTCCTGTTCACTTTGCCGACTCTTTTCGTCTGTAAATATTTGTGCAGAAACTCCTGATTATCTGCATTTGTGTTTCCGGCTAGCTTCTCTCGTGCTCCAATTCCAACCCCTCCTTATTAACTATTGCCCATTCTTTGGTGCTCTTTAGATTCTCTACAGTCTTCTGACTGCCCACTGCTGTTTGCACGTTTATATGCTTTTCCTGGAGTTTGATTTCCTCTTTCACATTTCTGTTTAGCCCACGAATGTTGGGTCTGCCCTTCACAACTGGTATTCATTGGGATGTATCTGTCCAGTCTGTGCTATCCCCTTTAATGCTGCCACAGTGTGTGTATGTGACAAGAACCTAACCTCAACCTGCCAACTCACTCTAACCAGCTCTGCCTGTCACACCCTCACAGTTGCCCTGATTTATATATAAACAAAACTAGTCTCAGACCCACTCCTCCCTCCCTTCAAACTGATTGTAAAACTCAATCATATTCCACTTGCTGCCGTCTCACAGTGACACATGACACAAATTAATCCCAGCCCCTGTATTTACTCAGCTGCAGCAATGGCAAGACGAAACAGGTAGCGCTCCGACTTTTAACCTGAGCTCTATTCTGCCTGGAAACCAAGAACTTTTTCGTTCTACTTTCAGTTTCCCCCGCACAACCAAACTTTCGGTTTCACCCTCTGCTTCCAGGGGAGTCTGGAGTTACACTTCCAGTGTCAGTTCCCCGCCAAACCAAGTTTTCAGTTCCGGTTCCAGACCTCCTAGAAACAAGGAGTCTCAGTTCCTGTTCCAGACCTCCTAGAAACAACGAGTCTCAGTTCCGGTTCCAGATCTCCTAGAAACAAGGAGTCTCAGTTCCGGTTCCAGATCTCCTAGGGACAAGGAGTCTCAGTTCCGGTTCCAGACCTCCTA